CCTTTGCAATCAATAAAGTTTGCCAGTTCATGCATGCTCCGACTGAAAATCATTGGGCCGGAGTAAAACGGATCTTACGTTACCTCAAGGGCACCATCAATTTGGGTTTGTGGATTCGTCACAACACGGGCTATCAACTTCAAGCCTTTTCTGATTCTCATTGGAACCAAAATCTTCAAGCTTACTCAGACTCTGACTGGGCTGGTTGCCCAATCGATCGTCGATCCACGGGGGGATATGCTATCTACTTAGGCTTGAATCTTATTTCTTGGTCTGCTCGCTAGCAGAAAACTGTCTCTCGATCTTCAACAGAGTCCGAGTATAAGGCCATTGCAGATATTGTTGCTGAGTTGATTTGGCTGAAGTCTCTTCTTCAGGAACTTGGATTAAATAGCAAGGCTCCTACTCTTTGGTGTGATAATCTTGGCGCAACATATCTCACAGCTAATCCCGTCTTTCATGCTCGTACCAAGCATGTTGAAGTAGACTATAACTTTGTTCGTGAACAAGTTACTCAAGGGAAACTAATTGTCAAGTTCATCTCTACAGACGACCAAATTGCTGATATTTTTACAAAGCCCTTGCCTTCTCAGAAGTTTGAGTTTCTACGGTCCAAGTTGCAGATTGCTAGCCGCGCTGAACTTGCGGGGGAATGTTAGACTAAGTCAACTAGTCTAGTTTATATTATTAATATTGTCTAGGGTCCAAAGTGTAATTAGTTTTACCTATATAAGGTGTATCACATTATTATTATTTTTCAATCAATACAATCAATATCAAGTTTTATACCTAGTTTGATTGGGAATTATAGCAGTATGATATGAAAAATGCATTTCAACATGGTGAATGAGAAAAAAAGGATTATATGAGTACCACCAAGATTCAATGATAGTGATGAACAAAGGGTAAACAAACTGAAGAAAGCATTGTATGGGCTAAAACAGTCCCCATAGGCTTGGTTTAGCTAATTTGCTGAGATCTAACGGTTACATACAACGTCGAGGTATCATACATTGTTAATCAAACACATTGCTTGAAAGGGAGTCACAACCAATTAGGCAATTAGTGTGATATATTTCCTTTTTCACTGTTGTGTGTTGGGTATACAACAACATTGCATTGTCGAATTTATTACATAGAAGAATTCATTCATTTCTCTTCAATATCCACTGGAAAAAAAAGATGCCAAATCTTTTCAATCGTATAAGATTTGGTCGGGCAACGACTACAAAAGGTCATATGGAACTAAAATTTCTGCAATAATTTTTCTTTTATGAAAAGTGGGTTTCTTTTCTTGCAACCCTTATAACATTGTCATATAACTAAATAGAAAAGACAAAATATAAGAAATAGACACATTCAACCGCGGCACAACTAGCCTTCCGATTATAATGAGATTGTAAACTTCAAACTGAACCATATTCCTAGCAATAGAGTCTACAATGCACTCAACAGACAATCGACCCAAGAGATAAAGGCATCAGATGTATATACAGTCTCATTAGATTCTTCACACAACCTTGCTTGCAAATATTTAGTGTGTTTGGCATTCAGAAATCTTTGCCCACAAAGTACTTGTGAAGGAATGTTTGGTTTAAGGACAAGTGTTTTGTGGACATTAAAATAATATGGGACATCAATGAGAGCATGTAAAACAAGACTTATGTCCATGTTTTTAATGATAAAGAAGATGCTATCAAATAACAAAGTTGGATAAGGTAGTTGCTTGCCTTGATTATAGAATCACTCATCAGTAGCTCTTCTGCCAGTACCTCAAATTCTGATACAGCATAATGCGCTAACCCAAAGGTCAAGATACCTCCATCCAGGACGCTAATTTGCCCTTGAACCTAATGAAGCATCATAATAGATAAATGGCATGATCACACATACAATATGAATGTAGCTCCTTAAGAAAATTAAAATTCAAAGAAGAAAAAACAGAAAATAAACTACTCCGTATTACAAAATGAAAAGTGTTAAGCATCTTCTAACCAAAATTAGACAAGTCATGCCAAGAATTTTTCTCAAGCCACAAGGCGCATCACTAAAGTAAAGATGTGTAGTACATTATCATAGTTGTTTGATATTCCACTTTTAGAAAGAGCTTAACTATCTTTTCCAACCCTTCACCATCACCATTGATGTCTTACCTAAACAGGAAGAGCGCAGAACAGAATAAAAATGAAGCCTTTAACATCTTAAAAGAGTCTCATAGCATAATGCATGTTGAGGTCTGAGACGGTGTTTGTAAACAATCAAAATGTAAGGATAAGTCATAATTTAACAACACAATGAGAGAAGACGGTGCAAAACAGATATAACTGGCTCATGCTACACAATACAATTACACAAGACACATATCTGTGTGTGTTTGTGTGTATGTATTATCCAAATATGAACACCAACACATGAATGAACAACTTTGAACATAAAACCACTTAAACCACAAGAGCATGCAACAAATACGGATACACTGCATAATTTACCAAAGCCTTAAAGGGAATAGATTTCAAGTAGAATTATCGGATAAAATTTGAGTGAAAATAAAATATAAAGAAATGGGTAAATTGCATGAAAATGTAACGTACTTTCATTTGATTCCTATTTTATGAATGTACTTTTAAAACATTCATTTTGGTACTTGAGATGTAACATCTAAAACTTTTAAGTACCTGATTAACCGGTTTAACCATTTACCATGATGATGTGGCAGATGATATGGCTTTTTTTTACGTAAAATTGGTTTTAATTTTTATTAGATTTTTAGTAATTGCATTTTAGATTTTAAAAACATACACAAGAACATGAATAGCATGAACATTCAACCACATACACAATTAGTTTTAAAAGAACAAATTCACAATCACCACCGTCCTATTAATGGAGTCTTTGTCATTCGTTTTGTTTCTTCTATTCTTCTTCTCATTTTGGAGCTCATCATGCTTGCAACCTTGGCCAAAGCTTGAAACGTCTTCGCCGGAATCGAGATACCAAATTATTCAAGCTTTAATGGGGTCTCATCATCTTCTTCTTTAGATCGCCGGAGAAAACCGAAACATCATGAAAGATTTTGCCACCGAGACTTCTTCTCGACGGTATCATGATGATTATAAGGGTTGAAGTGGGTTTCGTATACTCGTTCACAATGGTTTAAGATGACTAGAGGGTCAAGATGATACATTGGCAGGGAACATAGGTTGGAGATTAGGGTCTTGAAGATGGTTTGTTGTTAACTTTTTTAAGGCAAATTTCACAAATAAAATTCTAGTAAAAAGTTAAAATGAAATTTATATAAATAAAAAGTTTCACTTTTGTTTATTAGCTTACTAATATTTGTTTACTGTTTATAGTTGATAATTTTGTTTAAAAAAAAACTTTTACATTCTTTAGAATTATCTTTCCATTAAGAAAATCTCACACAAATCATTTTAAAAAATATAAGTTCTAAAAACTAAAAAAATAATTGTCAATTTTTTGTTTACTAAAAAACATTTACAATCTGTAAAAACATAATGACATGGATTTTTTTTGTCTTCCATACAGAATTTACAAAATATACATTTGAAAAATAATGATATGGAATAATTTTGTTTAGTTGGCATTTCAGATATAAAATAATTAATGACACGTCAGTAATAACCTGATCCTAATCAGCATTTTCATGTCCTTAGGTAAATCAGGTACCTAAATGTTTGAGATGTTTCATCTCAGGTACCAAAATGATGGTTTTCAAAGTACATTACCCAAAATAGGAATGATAATAAAGTATGTTTAACATTTTCATGCAATTTGCCCTAAAGAAATTTCTCTTTACCAACTTCAGAAACAAGGACAGTTTACTCAAGAAAGTATGAAGCATGAATGTTAGGCATCTAATGTGCATTGAGGTAACCGCAATGAACATGCCGCGCTAAATAATTTTTTATCAAATAAAACAGAGCTGAATATATAACGAATTGCTAAAATTAACCTATATTTCACTGACCTGGACACGACTCCAAAGCAGGGGGACAGAAACCTTCGCAAAACTTTGAATAAAAATATTTGTCATAAGAGGCTGATATGCGACCTCCATAAAAAGTGTGTCTGTGTCAGTTGTCATGTTGAAATTATCAATTGTAAGGCTCCGGGTTACAACATCATAAAAAGTTCCTGCAGCACCCGAATTTGACGGACAGCCTAGACTATTACCACCTGCAATAATTAATATGAGACTTGAGTCATGTTGCACAAGTCAAATATAATTTAGTTCAAACTTCATTTCAGTAAGACGAATAATATGTCCCTGAATACTGGAATACCACATACCGGTTACCAAGGCTGCATACACATTAAGCCAAAAACATGATGAAATTAGCCACACTGGCTGAAACTTAGCGTTATTTATCTGTTTTCAACTTGACATTTTGTCTATGACATTCAATAGAATGTAAAAGAAGTTCATTTGTTAATGTTTATAAATATATGCAAGCTTGTGGAATTATTGTGTTTGACACTTCCATGTTGAAGATATAGGAGAATACTCATAAAATTTTATCTCAATGAACAGTCATTGACATAATTACTGAGTCCTTGTTTAGCATATACATGAAGCTTGAGTTATGTATATATTCATACATGTTTCTACGTGTGCATATGGGTCGTATGAGACCACCTAACCATTGACAACCCTGCCTAGAAAATTCATCTTCCTATGCTACACAAATGCCCAATACGTTGAATAGGATATTAACCCATCATGCATTATTGCTTGAAGAGGAATTGCCCACTTAAGATGGATTTTGCATTTAAATTACAGGAATGGATCTCAATGACAGTATTGTTTTTGCAATGCCTAAAAGAGGGAAATCAAGCATGCAAATTAAAAAAAATGAAAGGTTAATTATGAGGGTAGAAAGGAGGTCAGGTTTATGGAGACCATGGGGATGGGCATAAAAGAGAAGGGGTTAGTTAAGATCTTTCTCGTTACCCCTACAACAAATGGTAAGTTGCATTTATGGGTCAAGGATTTGGGGATCTAAGGTTTACTTCTTGGCAATTGAAGATCCAAAATTGCAACTCATTATCAGTTTGGGCTTTAACTCTTTTCAACAATATATGGTTTTCAGGGATTCTCAAGTGGACTTCCTTGCCTAAAAATAAAATCACACAAACCCAGTATATCCCACATAGAAGTAAAGTCTTGGCAGGTAAGATGTACACAGACTTTACAGACTTTTCCTCTACCTAAGAGGTAGAGAGGCTGTTTTACGAGAAGACCCCCTGCTTGAGGAAAAGATTTGGGAAGCTTATCTAGACGCCACAGTTATACAGAAAATTTTTAAGGGGGATTTAAAAAGATTGAAAACAGCCCGAATGAAATGAAAAGAAGAACTTGAAGGAGAGCCAAAAAACGAGAGGGAAATCAAGTGGACTTCCTTACCTAAGGGTCCTAAACTGAAAAACTTTGCTTGTTTTAGCAACTATGCTTCTTCGCCCTCTACATTATGTCACCATCACTCGACAATTTACAAATACATTGCTGGAGCTTCCAATCCTAACTCATTCATCCATCGAACTTCAAGCCAAAGCCAACTTCACTGCTTCTAGCTCACCCTAACCTCCCCCCCCCCCCCCCAAGGAAAAAACCCCATTGCAGCATAGCCATCAAAGAAGCCCTTAGGGTCACTTGAGAATGTAGAAATACGTGGCAGGAGAGTTCCAATCCTAACTTATCCGTTCATTAAACTTCAAGCTAAGGCAGCTTAACCACTTCTAGTCTATGCTAGTACTCCTACGCCCCACCTTTGTAACTTGTTATCTTCTAACCTAACAGGCAAAGATTTGCCTCCATGGAAAGGATGATATTAGGATCAATGTAGTCTATGGCTCTATGCCAGTACTCCTACAACCCACCGCTCATTGCATCATGGCCACCAAAGAAGGCACATTGGGGTAAGTATAACAAAGTTGATAAGATGGAAGAAGAATGTTGGCATAAGTTGGTGTAGACGACATTTTATATATATCATAATTTTCATCACCACCTTCCTCTCTTTCCTGACCCAACAGATTCAACGTGTTACCACTTCTGTTGATCCGAATAAACTATGATTTCATAATAAACAAATTTTGACACACAAAGTACAAAAAATATTCATTTTCCCTTCCATATACACATATAAAGAGGAATTATCGTTTTAGATTTCTTCTTTCCTACTGTTCCCATTTTTCTAATTTGGTGAGATGCAAATGCAGAATAAAAAAGGTATAGTTTTATGTTCTGTATCACTTGTCAAAGATGACGAACACGATGGGGAACAGAAAGATCTCAACTTTTGGAATCCTAAGGTTATGAAATGATATAAGCTCAGCGCCCTCTTGTAAAATAAGTGGCATAACACAACTAAAATGTTATCTTCCAAGTCTAAGATGATTCATCAACTGAAACTGCTAACAGCATGCCATTTTGATCATCAATAAATAAACCTTGGAGCGCAAATGCAGCAGTCCCCGAAACTCTAGCCATAAACTACTATTAGCTCAAAAACAGAGTCCAACCCGAACCAAAGAAAGAAGTGAAGGAAAAATACAAGCACCTGCAAATTAAAGGTCATGATGTACTCGAACTATAAAATTAGAACACAAGGATGCAACAATCCTACCATGGACGAAGATTTTAGGCTCTTCATGCCTGCTAAACACATCCGCAGAAATTCTTCCTCCACCCCCACCACCAAAACCGTCACCTCCACAAGCGCTTATATTACCACTTCCAATCCTGCACATATGAATAAGATCAATTTCAGTCAGATTGTATTACATACATTTGATACCTCAAACGTCAACGCAATTAAAAGAATTACACCAAGCAAAAGAGGCACGATTAACATTATTAAACTGTCATGTGAAATGAATATTATAATCCCACGGCCACAGACTAGCCCCATCAAATTTGCATGCTTAGCAAAGAAGCCTAATAGAGTTTTGACTTTTACAATTTACCTTTTTCATTATATCAAAAAAAAAAAAAAGTGGAGAAAGTTTTTTATGCAAAAATCTCCGCTTAGGGTAGCTTAATCAATTGCTAGGAGGCAAGTGTTCCCTTACCGCTTTGCTTACCAACCAACCAATGAATTAACTGTTGCAAAAGATTAGGCAGGATCAATAAGTCAAGTGGTCTTGTACCTTCAAAATATATTGTGGTCCAAACTAAAAATCAGCTTCTAATATTTTGTACCCTGCATACTTTGGGGCTCATTAGAAACAAGAATGCATGGTTATGACATTCATAAGTTCACATAATTTAGAGATAAACATGTGTAACATCTATGGAATGTATGTGTGGAATAATAAAAGAAATAATTGAGAAAGAATATCAATAATGTTTAGTGTTAGTTTTTCAATTTATAATTGTATATCATCATAACCAATGATGTGTTAATATTATGTATCTTTTTATAAAACATAAAGATGCATTGTTGCTTTTTGCAACGGACTACCAAGAAATGATCAAGTAATCCTACTTTTATCCAAATACAGGTGTAATGGCATTTTATATTTTTTTGGATTTACGAAAATGGCAAGCACCTTGCTCTACTGCCCCATGTCATGGCTTTTTTGAAGTTGGTGCCACGTTTGCAAGCCTTGTACCTACAAACTCCAAAAGGAAAATTCCCAGGGCACTACTAGAAAGTCTATCACCAAATGTGATTTCCATTACATACCCTTTTCTAGAAGATCTGTGAAAGGGACCCAAGTGCCAGTTTACTTCAAAAAGCAGAACTTGAATATGATAACACACTTGGAAGGGTGTTTTAATCTATTTTTATAGTATATAATTACTATACAGTTAGATGTTTCTTCAAATTTGCAATTTACTTTTTTGGGGAACAATAAAAGCATCATCCATCAAACGAAGTAGATAACATAGGGGTTATAGCAGGAGAAAAGTTTTAGCTTTGGATTGCTTGACCAAAATTTTACTTGTATTGCAATATAACCGCGATAATAAAAGGTTCTTCTCCATCAACAAAACGAAGATGACACAAAACTTGCCAACCTGCCTGCTTTGACTAGCCTTTTGTCATGACCAACCATACAAAGAAAAAGACACATGCAACAAAGTCGTCAAGATATCAAACATAATATAACCATGTGGAAAACATATGTTGCATACTTGATGAAAATTGAACTCTTCCCTAGGGAGTTGGTTACTTTATAAATGAATACAAACATCAATTCTAATACATCATTATTAAGGTAATTAAATAAACAAACAAAAAAACCGCAATTGATATTCTACTCTAGAACATAACATCCATCTAGAGAAGGTAACATCAGATTTCTAATGTTACTAAAATGATTGTTTAATTGCCAACAAAATTTCAGTCAAAAGTTCTACTAAAAGCTTATTAATGTAGATAGATACAATCGTGCAAGCTAGGAGAGGATGAAGTTATAAACATGAAGGTTTAGAAGATGGTTTCTTCAGTAATGAGGTTTAACTTGGTTATGTATACCGATCTATAAGACTATAACTACATCTCCATTAAAGCAATAGTGATTTATCATGGCGATAAAAAAAAATCGGAGGTGTTATTTGGGACATCCAGTAACTGATTTAAACAAGCGCACCAGTAAAAGGAAAAAAAAAAACCAACTTTTTCCAGTTTATTGCAACATCATCTAGAAAAAAGAGTGCTCCAAAAAGAATTGAAAAAGGATCTCCACATAAATGCACACAGCCTTTCTAACTCAAAATTCCATATTTGATCATTCAGAACCAAAGTGGTGCATGAGGACACGAGAAAAATATCTTATATCATAGGCATTTGAAAGAGAAGGGATGAATTACTACTAGCTAACTTCCCATTTACGAGTAATTACAAAAAAAGCAAATTCACAAATATCATCCTTGTCTAAAACTCTTCTACTCGATATTGTATTCTACAACTATCTAATCTTCTTCAATCTTTCCCAATCTATGCTAAATCATAAAACCTTACCAAACATTTCAAGCTTAGAAATCACAAGTGCTTTGGGCTTCAACAGTGTATTATATCCACTTCACCTCTTTGAAGTTGCTAAAAAATAACGTCTAGAAAATTGATGATTGGAGGAGGATGATTATAATGATAAAGAACTGCTTCTAGTTCACAATGTATGAGCCCGTTGTATTTTAAGTTATTGTGTGGCTCACAAAACCAAGTAAGGATATTGAGAAAGTTTCACTGCTCCCATGGTCATGTTAGTGGTCATAGTTTCTGAGAGTCTAGTGTACAAAGTTCCAATGATGAACCCTACAAGCATATAGGCAGTTCCATTTTGTTGAAAGCAAATGGTTTCCAAACCCTTCACATTAAGTATGCATTGCTAAATGGAAATTCGATAATCTATATGTTTGCAAAGTAAATAGCAAGAAAAAAGAACACATCTTATACATGCAATCTACATAACCTAGATATTATTAGAAGAATTCAATAAAAGTGAAGAAATTACATCTTATAAGCCTGGATGAAGATGCTGCCACCTGAACCACCTCCGCCCCTCACACTCCCATCTCCACCTTCAGCTAATAAACTACCATCCATCTCAATATGACTCTTAACCACAAGTTTTATCCTCCCACCACCACCGCCACCGTAATCCACCTCCTTACTTGTAGTCCCACCTTTACTTCCGTAGCTCCATGGCATCTGTAAAGTCGACCATGAATATGCATCGCCTCCCCATACATCATCCGGAAGCTTCTTGTCATCCATCAAACACGCGGCTCCTCTTCCTCCATAACCTCCACCAGCCCCATCAAGCCCTTGAGGGGTCCCACTAGTTTGCTCCGGCGGATCACCAGCTAAACCAGTGGTATTCACAAGAGACCCATTCGCAAAACTTGCATTTGCAGCCTCAAGCTCAAACGAACCAACAAAAATCTGCGCGTTTTCGCCTAAACTAAAGTCACCTGCAACGTTTATGCCAAGTTCGCACCCTGGAACAACCGAACAACTGACAGTCACATTAGGAAGGATAAAAAAGTTTCCCTTCCCTGCTATATACATACTTTGGGTTAAATTCAAACTATCAACTACCTCACAAGTAGTATCTAACGACCCAACCCCGCCAAGGTCATCCTCACAAGTCGCCGACGGCGGATGCGGCGGTGGCGGCGGCGGCACAGGCGGCGAGTAATCATGATGAAAAAGGCTTATAAACCCGTCATCATTCTCTCCTAAATTACCGTCATAACCTTCCCCATCATCCATACCCAATCCCCAACTGAACTGGATAGTGTCTTTTACGACCGCCACGAACAAAAACATTACGATTATCGAAAAGATATGCCTCTCCATTGCCAGATAGTTGAAGATGATGCGTCATTACATCAATTGCATCGGAGATGTGCAACAAAAGGAAACAACACAAAACCACTCAAACTCCCACTATAAGAATCCAAACTAGATGAACTAAATCAATAACATGATCATCCGCTGCATAATTATAATCAAGAAACGGGAATTTATGATTATGAAAAAGGGATTATGCGAAAACCCTAGAGAATGGTTTTGTTCCAAAAGGAGGTTTGTGTGTGTGTGAGACTATGTGTGTTTGGTAGGCAAAAAAGCAGTTAAATTCCTCAAGAAAGCTGAATCTCTTTTTGACAGAGCAACTACTTCTAATTTAAATGCATTATTGCCTTAGAGACTTGTTTTGTATGCATTAAAATACGTACATAACTCTGAAATCATCAATTTAAACTCTGGAAAATGATAATGGCCATAAGGTGACGTCTTCAAGTCAAAAGCACCAACAACTCTCTTGTTTAAAATTCCAAGTTATGATGATTTACACGTGATTTGCACGTGGAAATGCAATAAACTTTTCTATTTTAGGAGTATTTTAATTTCGATATTTATATTTATCAATAACAATTTTTAAAAATATATATATTTTAATTTATACAAACAAATTAATTCATACAAACTTTTTTATCCATACATGCCCTTTATTAAAACCAACCTATAAAAATATATAATATTACTAAGAGGTCATTTACCAAACGCTTACTTCGGTAAGTGAACACCAAATCACATTATCCTACCGGATGAATATGGTAAGGATCAATAATCTTACTCAATAAGAGCGAGACAAGAACCAAGAGTTTTACCCAGTAAGTGAGGGTAACGACTCTTACCATGGTAAACATTTACCGGGTACATTATTGCATACGATACCTTTTTGGTGTACTAAAATCTTATCCGATAAGTAAATGATAGTGTTAAATTTTACCGATAAACACTTACAGGGTAAATGTTTGGTAAACGACCCCTAAGATCGATAATTTAATGAGATTTACAGGATTTTTTTGGTTTGGTTTATTTTAATTTGGTTGGTAAAATTTCTTTTTTTTATAATTAAAAATAAAATGGTTATTTTATTTATAATAATTATATATGATTTATTTTAAGTCCGACAAAGTGATAAAATTTGAATATGATGGAAAATAAGATATGTCGTGAATCAAAAAGCAGTGGTTAGGTGGGGAATTTAAAATCTGGTTACTTGTGTGATACATATTAGCCAACTGGCGTATGGCGGTACACGTGGGGGTAAATATGTCAAACCTAAAATACACGTGTTTATCGATACTACGTATTTTGGGTTGAATTTTAATAAAAATTAAAATAATAAACTTGGATTTTTAATTTGTAATATTTTTCGTGTTCTAATTATTATAAATTAGTTGTAATTGATGAAATGAAGAAATATTTTAATATTATTTTAAGGATTTTGAGTCCGACTGGTTTTTCTAAAATAAAAATTAAAATGGAGAAAAAACTTTTTTATATTTTTAAAAGTACAAATTCCATGAGAAAATAAAATACTTTAACTTGAATAACATACTTTTAAAACTTTTATTTTGGTACCAAAGGTATAAAGTTTAAACATTTAAGTATCCAGATCAATTCTTATATTAAACACGATTCATAAATGGGTTTAAGATTAAAGATGATTAAGGTTCCAGATAATTTCTTACTCTTCTTATTTTAACTTTACTTCTCACACGATCTTTTGCCTTAAAAACGATGCTATATTTTTTATTTTTTATTTTAACTAATATAATTTCTCAATTATATAATTATATTTTGTAATCATTATAATTTCTATTAATTCAAATCACAAATGGTATTAATTGTTTGTTAAATGGGTGTTTATGGTTTAACAAGTGACTTATAATCATAACTAACACTTGAATTTATTATTTTATTGTCATAAATAATATTTTTACTTAAACATAACCAAAAATTACAAGAATCTCCAATCCATCATTGAAAACATTAAAGAGAAGGTGATTTCAATTCCAACTCATCATTGTAACATTAAAAATAAATAAACCAAAAAAAAATGTTTTGTATATTTTTAGAGATAAAAAATGTTGGCCTCTTTGTAAAATATTAATATTATATTGAGTTTTTATAATTATATATATATAACTTTATTTTTCACTAGAACCCATATATATATTAGGTTCAAACCCGTGTATTACACGGGGTAATTTAAAGAAAATAAATCATGTCAAGAAACGTATCTTATATATATGAATGATCATTGAAGTAACGTTGAAGTTGAATGTAGTGTGTTGAAGCAAAGTTGTTGTGCATAGAGCTAGATCTGCTTCGTAATCGAAGATCCAGAGCTTCTCTGTATTGAAGGACCAGAGCTTTGTATGAAAGGACCAGAGCCTCTATATCAAAGGACCAAAGCTCTGTATTGGATCATTATACGTTCTCGACCAAAAGCTAACACGTTGAACCAGAAGTTGCTCGATAGATCTGTGTGTCTATGCTAAATCGATCATATCTCATGTGTATGAGCTCCAGAAAAGTTGAATCCAGTCTCTATTGACAGCTAACACACTGATCTACGATGTTCATGTTTTGAGTTTTCCCAAACTCCAAATATTTCATGACCAGAAACATCGTAGAGGCTAGTGCAATGTTCGTTCAACCAGAGCCTCAGGTTAATCTATCCAGAGCCTCTAGGTCAAGAAAATGTTACAAGCCTAAGTATAAGTTTTATATATTATCTATCTCTGAATTGTGCTTACAAGACTAAGTCTTTCAGACTTGTCTTCAAAGTCTGAAGACCTTGAGTTCAAAGCTCAGATACAGAGCTCGGACATATAACTCATATACATAACACTTCAGAGTTCAGACTTTTAAGTCTGAAAATGAAGACTTCATAGTAGGATCCTGTTTCCCACTTCATGATCTTCTTCTTCTCTCAATTACTGTGAAGAATGACTCTTCAGACTTGAATTTGAAAACAAAACTATATCAATAATTAGTTAAAATGAATTTAACTCTATAATAAAATTGAATTTAAAAATGAAACTATATTGATAAATTGAATTTAAACTTATAAATAAATCTTTTTTTTTTCGGGAATCAGGTACCACATGAATTAATTAACCCAATAGTAAAATCAATTGCATCATAAATTAGTGGGATTGATTGAATAAGAGAACATGTGTCAATCAAATGAGTCTAATTGAACTGCTAATGTAAATTATGTCTAGATATGTGTTTAGACGGAAAAACACTAAAATCAGCTCACTATAAGATAACATATGTCACGCCAACTACTTATTTATTATAAGCATATATATATATATTGATCAAGGATTGGGTTCATGTGAGACCAGTCTGTTTTCATGAGACACGTGAGACTATTTTTTTTTACACTTAAAACTTAACAACAAAACGTTGTGAATGTAAAAAAAAAAAAAAATCGAACCTTCACAGCAAAAAAACTGTAAAGGTTACCTTCATAGCGTTTGCTGTGAAGTTTCAAGTGTAAAAAACCGGTTTCACTAGTTTCACGAAAGCAGGTTGGTCTCACAGGTCTCCCAAGTCTATTGATTAATAATTTAATATATTAAGTAGTATCTTGTATTTACTTTATAATTCAGTTATTTTTGTGTTTTCAAATTATAAATTATATTGAAAAAATTGAAATTTCGCAAAAATAAAAATATGGTTATTATAATTTTGGTCGACAAAACTTAAACATATAGAAGAAAACATTTGTAAAATCATAAAACATTAAACTAAATGAAATTTCATCAGTAAAATTTTTAAAAACATAATATTAGCTATAGTTTTGTACCAAGATAATAATATAAAACCGAATACAATAACATAGATTCACAGAGGAAAAAAGTATTGGCTGATATAATAACACTGTATATCATTATTTATAATATGATTATAGAAGATGAAATGATGTTAGTGCAACAAACTGACGAAATACTTAAAGTGTCAACTCTAGAAGTTGAGATGGTGAGCGATAACGATGATGGATTTCAAGATTTTATTGTTCGACAAAAAAAGATCAAGGATAAATTTTTTTTTTTGAACAGCAAAAAAAAGGAACACCCAAGGAAGGAGCTTCGGCAATGCCATCACCCCCCCGAGAGCGACCCAAATCTTATTCAAAGAAAAGGCCAGCAACCATACAAAAAGTCTCTAAGGCAGAGACAAGAAGAACCCAAGAAAAAACCAGAAGAAAACCCCTCTAAGC